AAATGGCCAAATGGTGGCTATTTTTGTGCCAAAAAATCATCAAATATCAAGCATTTATGGATGGATTTCGTTCAGACTTGGTACATATGTTAGACATTACAGGTTCTTGATGCACTTTATTTATCAGATCGAATTCAAAATGGCTGTCTGGCGGCCATTTTGTTTTAATGAATGTGGTTCTCGTGCCATATCTCCGACTTGTTTTGACTGATTATATTCAAATTTTAAATATTCATTATACATCATGTCATAGATGAACAGATATATTGGTTTGATGATCCTATTCAAAATGGCCGAATGGTGGTCATTTTTGTGGTAAGAAATCATCAAATATCAAGCATTTCTGGCATTTATGGATGGATTTCATTCAAACTTGGTACATACATTAGACATTACAGGTTCCTGATGCATGTCATTTTATTTTTCAGATTGGATTCAAAATGGCTGACTGGCGGCCATTTTGTTTTAATGATTGGGCTTCTAAAGCCATATCTCTTAAATGCTTTGACTGATTATATTCAAATTTTATATATTCGTTATACATCATGTTATATATATACATGTATTCAAAATGGCTGATTTTGAATGCTGTTCCAGAGCAATATCTCTCAATATGGACAAGTACTTGTTTGACGATCAGATACAAATGTCAATCATTTTAATGTTAAAAATTCATATTCCTGACATGGTTATATTCCAGCTATATTACTATAAAACTATATATCTTAAATTTGATAACTAACAGGGACTGTGCCATGCATGGCTTGTTTTAATTTCATTTCATATTCAAAGTTTTTCATTCATTCATATCAAATCTCTGAGTCTAGGCCTCCCTATTGAGTTTGACACACTTCTCAGTGCACAGGTCAATTCTTTTTTGACGTTTGACCTACAGTAGGATATCAATTCGGCCCCTACCAATTTCGGGTCAGACTCTACAATCACTGTGCTACTGGTTATTCTTGACTTAAATAAAAACATATGTATATAAAACAATTCTCCTTTCAACAAAATAACAGAAAATATTTTTGTCACATTAAAATTTGAGATTTTGACATTGATTTTATTTTGTTTTTCCCCCAGTATTTTATTGCCTTAATGATCATCTTTTTTGCTGAACTGGTCGGAGGTATAATGGCTTACGCGTACAGGAATGATGTAAGTACTGGTGCATGGTGAAAGTAGTTCAGTCATTAGCAGAAATGAGTTTTCTGTGTATTTGAAGGTATCGCTTTGTTACATAATAGGTCTTCAATACATGATACCGCTACAGACACAAATGATAAAAATATAAAATATTGCGTTGCAAATCACATTAATTTCTTGCAGTGGAGGGGATTCCCTCTCTCTCAGTATAAACCACCTAGCTGGTCCTTTCATTATATTTATTGTTGTATGCTCTTGAGTTCGCAACCTATCATATTTGTATTACCGATATAATTTGAAATTGAGTCACCATCTTCACATACATCTTTATGTCCCAGATTTCACTACTTGTAAATCAAAATGGCCGCCATTTTATGCATCATCACTATAATTTGAAGATCAGATAAAAATACAATTTCCATTGAACAATATCAGAGGATTAATTGAATTACAGAGGATCGTTACTTGAACATGACACCATATCTTTTTGTATATTCTACCCTGTGTACTACAATGTGTACTATATAATTAGATATTCTTATCATTTGCATAGCCATGTATTTTTTGAATGCCTATTTTACAAAATATTTCCCATAACATTCAGGATCCCTTTAATATTTAATTCTGCTATGGCAGTTATTTTATATTCTCACTAACAAATTCATTTCTGTGCGTTTTTTTTTTTTTTTCATCACTTTTGTTTGGCATTCCAAAAGAAAATGAAAAATGGTAGAAGGCAAATGGGGGACAGTGTCTGTCTATCATTTTTAATGCAATCGTGTTTAGCAGGATTTATTATTCAATTACTGTACAACATGTTGAAATAGCTCCATACCATTTTAGCGAATTTGACTCGATGCATGAATTAACATAATCTTAATTTAGCTAAATTGCCAACAATCTCTTTGTATTTTAAATTAGAATCAGACATTTTTTTTTTTTGGAAGCTATCATAAACATTTAGACATTGCAAGTTTTACCTGATGCTAGTACATAAAAAGTATTTTTTTTTCGGAAAATTCAAAAATAATTGTGAATTAGAATGCTATGTTGATGCTATGGTTATGTTTTCATTTTGCACTTCTACAGGCGAAATTCACAGTAAAAAAATCCATGCAAAGTACATTGAAAGAAGCATATGGTTTGGAAGGGAACAAAGGTGTTACAGATACATGGGATGACACACAGCGAAAAGTAAGTTGTCTTGATTTATGTCAATGATGTAGTGGCCTGGAAAATTGGAAAGGCAATTTACATTGATTATCAGCTGAATAGACGCTGTCGGTTGGTGTAATTTTACGATGATTGTTCGCATTTCAAAGAGGTGTTATTCTGTAAAGGTAACTCAATTTTGGATGGTCGGCTGGCGTTGAGTAATTATTTATAGTAGAACTAGAATTGTATTATTGTGACTTAACTTTTTGGAAAGTATCACAGTTGTACATGTGCATGTATGTGTATGCATACACTAAAATCATGCACTGAACAATGACATTAACATGTCAACTGGTGAAATCCTCTACAAGGATAGACATTGTTGATAACTACCGTACTGTATTAAAAAGCTACAGAAAGTGATGTGATATAAAGAGAGATGGACTTCGCAATATTAAACAAGTTCAAACTCTACAAGTATGTGTGAATTTAGTCATACCTCTGACAATAGAATAGACATTGATTGTGATCAATCCAATCTTGATTCTGTTGGAGAATGTGAAACTTTATCAAACCATGTTTAATTAATATAATTAAACTGTAATTTATCTTGTTTCTGAAAAATGTCTCATGCTATTTTGTATTATTTATATAAAGTGTCTAATTTAAATGTTAAATAATTTCACTGATATTCTCAATATTTCTGTTGTAGTTTGAATGCTGTGGTGTGGAAGGTAACACTACAGACGCTTATCAGCTATGGTTGGTTAGTGACTGGTATGTAGAACAGGTTGGCGACCCAAAGGAAAAGGTCCCATCAAGCTGCTGTAAAAGAAATGATGATGGAGATGTTATCAATTTACAAGAATGCCAGCAGTTAGAACCGGATTTTGATAATCCAGATCAAGTCAACACTGAAGTGAGTAGAATGTGAATCAAATGTGAATAGAATAGAATAGAATAGAATAGAATAGAATAGAATAGAATAGAATAGAATAGAATAGAATAGAATAGAATAGAATAGAATAGAATAGAATAGAATAGAATAGAATAGAATAGAATAGAATAGAATAGAATAGAATAGAATAGAATAGAATAGAATAGAATAGAATTGAATTGATATTTATTTTTACTGTTTTCTAGTGTGGGGCAAAATATAACAACAAATGTATTTTTACTGGACATCATTTTCACTATTTATTAGAGAATATTGTGAAAATATTCAAATGTTTACAATCAAGTTTAAATATCTTGCAATCATGTACCATACTTACCCGAGTATAAGCCCAGGGGCCTGAACATGTAAAATTGGGAAAATTAGGGGGTGGGCTTATACTCGAGGACCACCTCAGAAAAGATAATTTTTTGGTGGGTTTAAAATTATAACCATCTTCCCAACCAAACATTGATGGTCTCTGAGAAATATTACGAGTCGTCATTGATTTCCACAACGCTTTTTACAAACATGTTCAAAAAAAATACACACATTTTATTACAATATGGTTTAACATATCGTCTGAATTTACAGTGAAAAATGGGTAGAGTCTGTGGGAAAACAGTCAAAACCAAGATCTTTATCATTATCTTCGTAGAATGTTTTCGATCGTACGCAAACTCATTACAAAGCAATTTCTGCCATGGTGTTTTTCATCATGATTTGACCTGAGCAACTTCCTTTGACCTAACAGATCGCGTCTTTCATTAATCAATCAAAATGCTGTGTCATACAAACAAAGTTTTTCAATTATTGACGAAGTATTTTTTTCAACGGAATGTGTAAGTGAATTATCGCGATGTTAAATTACGATCTGTTTCTACAAAAAAATAGTGATTTTTTTCCTTAAAAGCTGTTGATTCTCAATTTTTGAAAGGTAAACTGAGGGTAGAGGAAATATTTAAACTATTCAGTTACCAACAAGTCATGTCGAAGAACAGTTTGCTCGTTTACACCCCTTCACGATAGTCTCAATGGACACGATTATTCGGAAAAGTAAAACGATGTTCAATGACCAGGTTTTGCGACTTGACAATCACATTTTGGTGTTTCGAAAACTACTACTCAAAAGAAATATGGATTACTTCAGTATTGCAACATCAGGGTTCATCCTGAGTAAATAACAGAATAGAAAAGGTGCGAACCATGTTCCGTATGTTCACCCGCTATGCAGGAGTCAAACCAATCATTGTTTTTATGCAATGAAATACACTTTTTACATGCATATTTTAATAAATGTCGTCGACGGTAAAAACACCCTGGGCCTATACTCAGGGATGCCCTCAACTCGTTAAATGTCTAAAAACAGAGGGGTGGGCTTATGCACGGGAGGGGCTTATGCTCGGGAGGGGCTTGTGCTCGGGAGGGGCTTGTGCTCGGGAGGGGCTTATGCTCGGGGGAAGTACGATACATTACAGTCATAAATAATATTGCAGGAAAACTAACAGTTGCAATTATGATGCTTTCCATGTGAACAAATTTAATCAGTATTTCATGTATTTTTTTATAACAGGGCTGTTTTGATTCTGTCTACGAGTTTATCTTGGACAATTCACTTGTGATTGGTGGTGTTGGCGTGGGTATAGCTTTTATACAGGTGAGATATATGTCATAGTAAGGATGTTTCAGATGAGGCTGTTGAATTTTGATATCTATGTGCCGTGACATGTAATAAAGATATTCTCATACATGCATATAATTGAATGCATTTCTAATCAGTGGCGTCATAGAATACAGTGGATGCTTTGATTACATAAACTGGAATGAGTGAGATTATCAATGCATTAAAAAATGCAATACATATGTAATACCTTAAAAATCATATTTGAGGCCGCAGCTTTGATATAAGCTGCACCCCTAACTTGAGACATTATTTCATGTTGAAATTGTTTTTATTTCTTTTAGAATATACTTTTTGTTATAAAACAAAAATTAAGAAAATAAATACATATTACATTAAATATATTTTTTTGTTATCATGTGAACATTTTTTTTTTTTTGATTGACTGTAAATTTCCTTGATGTCTAAATTAGAACATGGAAGGTACAGTCACTCTGCCGGAAGTTGAACATGCCAGTAGTCAAACACAAACGACTGTGTCAGACGACTGTCTCTCAGTTGTGACCTATACCGTGCTAACGAATTAGAGTGATGTCTATTATAGTATACGGTACCATACCGTAATCTGCAAATGCGTACAAATCTATTTGTAGATATTATTTATTGTGCAGTATGTTATACAGTGTGAAATTTCGTGTACAAGTTTGTCTGTGTGTCAAAACCCGAAAGTGCGCTTAGAATTGCAGCAAAGTTGCAATCGAGTATTCTAGAAATGTATTTTTGTCAGGTGACTTTGTGTACATTCCACAATTCACTTGAATCAATTCACACGAGATGTTCATCATATATCACAACTTGTATATTCTCATATTCTAAATCTTTCATATTATAGTTATGCAGCTTATGACTCTTCAAATTTTCATCTGATCATAAATAATATTGATAAGCATCATCAGAAAAAAAAGTTGATCATAGATTTTGTATTGCTGTAAGGTTTCCCTGAATGTTCAACTAGTGTACACAACAATATATCATTTATAATGAACATCCCAAAACACTTTATTGAACGAGGAGTCTATGTGAGACTTGCATTATAATGTGCAGTATTTTCTCTGAATCCAATATAGCACTGTGGGGAGTTTATTATTATTATGATATTACATCAATACTGGTCTCTAACTATCTGAACGTCTTAATTGTTTCCCACCAGTATTTTTCATTTTGCACGTTTTATGTATTTATCTATAATTTATTCGTTAATTTTGAACCAAAGAGATTCAATTCTTCAATGGCTACAAGTCTTAATCAAAATGCTTAAACAAATATGGAAAAAATAATAATTTGTAAAAGTGACAAAAGTTGTCTTTGCCTTTCAAATAGTTATTTCATTGTGATAACATTGATTTATATGTTTATTTTAAACTTCAATGGTCATATTGTATAACTCTAGTCTTCACGGGACACACAGACAACACACTGACTTGATCATAACCATCATAATTTTATGCGATTCAGGGCCAATGAATCACAATAAAGCACTTCTACATCAGCTGATAGAGCAATGATGCCCAAATATGGACAAATTTATTATAATAATATTTATAATGGTTTCTTTGCAACAGATTATGTAATCTTTCTCTTTGTTTACAGATTTTTGGAATGGTATTTGCACTTTGTCTTTTTAGACAGTTGTAATAGACAAGTGTAGAGAATATCAGCACACATATGATTGTAATAGTATATAGAATGGTATGTAACGGTATGCTGGTAGAAACTACAACTCAAGTTGAAAAACTGATGGATCTAAAATCTACTAACATATAACAACTGCTGACAATATGCCTCCAAGAAGATTTAGAGATTAAACTGAAATATGAATATATCTCTTCTATAATCATAAAATGACTGCTAAACTAAAAAAATAATAATCCTAATACCACAACCTGTGAAGTCTGAATATAGTGTGAAAATCTCCACTGCTATGGTGAACCATAGCTCCAGATTTCCCAATCTCCAAATGTTTTAAAAGTTTTAGATTGTACTCATGTTTAAATATTTTTTAATAACATTTTTTCACTGAGGTCATCCAAATATGTCACTCTTCTTATGATATGTTGCCAGAAATATAAATCTGTCTGCCTGTATCTAAACAAACATTAGTGGTGAATAAATTAGGGAGTTAACATATGGTAAAGGGTAGATTACCAGTATCACATCAGGTATTATGCTTATTC